AAGACTTTGATTATTCTTTGTTGTGTTTACCTTAATAAATTTATTTCGTCATAGATGGATGGTACCGTCATAATGTAGGACACCTAGTTTTCAAGTTGACCGTTCACAGCAAACCTTGCATATCACATACAATTCACTTAAATGTAAGGAAGAGATTACAAATACATACAACCCCATATACTTAGTATATCACTTACATTTGTTATTGTTTGATTGATTGAGTTTGACATCAAAACTACCGGATGCATGGTAATTTGTCTAGCAAGTAATCATTTACATGTTAGACCGAAGGTCTTGCGTTTGATTCTCTGAGGTAGGGTCATGTAGAAGTATTTATAAAGAGGCACATACTGGAATGAAACAGCTATTTATTACTTTGTATTCTGAAATAGTGATTAAACTAACGTTAGTCCGTGTATGTGAATTACTAATCAATTTCATCTTTTCAACTAAACCATTATCACATTTAGTTCAATTATAACAAACAGATCATTCTAGTTTCGGGTGTTTGAATTTTTTCGGGGGTTGGAGGGTAAAGAAAGAAAAACTGGTAAGTTTAGTTTTCAGTTCAATCATTTGTATGAATCATTATTGTTGTATATTAATGAAACATTTCATAGTAAATGATGCATAGCAACTATTTAGTACTAATGTAGTGAACAAAACACTAATTGGGGACAATCGAATGTGTTTAAGCAAACATTACAGACTATCTCGGTAAATTCTGATAACCAAACAATGAACAGTCAATTTACAAATTAACAATCAATTGTTTCAATGTTCACTGTTTCTTCTCTAATTCCATTGCTTATGCATTTTCCAAACGATTGCGCTTCATTTCAGTTCTTTGCTCATCGGTCTTCTGCCAAAATACATTCTATGTCTGACCAACACCATATACTACTTATATAGATATAAGTAGACTACACCACACTAGCTGATATTTTTCACAACTTTTGTTAACTATTGTTTTAACACGGATACATTCATGATGAAAATCACTTTTTTTCAGTTGAAGGATAAGTTCAGAGATGGGATCTCTTCACAACGAATTTATTATCAAGCTGTACAATCGTATATATATGTGTGGGAACATTTTTGAGGAAAGCAATTAGAACTTCCATACTTCAACATTTAATCGATCTAATCATTCTACTAATTTACAGTTTGGTTTTAAGGTTCTAAATATCATTCGTTCAAATCTACCTAGATTTGTTCATATCCAACTCGGAAATATAGTCCAAGCTCTTACCATCCATCAGCTCAAGCTAGAACTAAGCGTACAAATGAGGCACTTCTTATCGTTATGGTTAACTTGGTCTTAATTATTGCTAATATTATTATTACATTTCCCCTTTTACTTATGTCTCACATTCTCATTATTTTGTTCATAATTGTTCATAATATTAATTCATTTATTTCGCATCTCTATTACCTTTTATTATCTACAGTTATTGGATTGGTTGAAGTTAGACATTAACATTGTTGAAATCCGGCCAAATTTGTGATCTAGAGGTTAAGTGTTCGTGCCTGAGATCGATCGGTCTTGGGTTCAAATTCCGTGAGCAGGGTCATGAATAAACACTGTCGATGAGTCGTCTACTGGGACGAAACGGACGTGGAATGCTTCCATGTTTTCCATGGTTACTCTTTGTTCACATTTCCTCACGGAACTAGTACTTCAACAGAAAGTTTAGAAACATATATACGATTATACAGCTTGATAATAAATTCGTTGTAAAGAGACCCCTTCGCTGAACTTCGTGTTTTTTAATGTTTAAAATTACTTTTGTAATTTAACTGAGTAGCCTAATTCTAATCCCTATTTCTCATCTTCAATGAGTTGTCTGCTGTAGATAATTTGTCCGCATTTATTAGTTAATTGAGTATAGTTACTAGGATGGTATTTTATAAATATTTTGGATTTAGTTATTTATTCTTTGAAGAAGTGGCTAATACTGTGTCACGAAACGTCAGAAAATCTAATTTTCTACTCATATAATTGATATTTCTCATTAGATAAAGTTCAGATTATTCCATTGTTAATATTCATGACTATCATTTGGAATCCTCAAGACCATACTAGAAAAGAAAGATCAAAGAACACATTGCACCGAGAAATGAAGACGGACATGAGAAGAATGAACAACATTTGGATAGAGCAAAAAATGAAGGTTAAAGACAGAGTGGGCTGGAGAATGCTTGTCAGCGGCCCATGCTCTATTCAGGGGTAAATAAAACACAAGTAAGTAAGTAATATTCATGACTGAGTTTTGATAAAATCATAAGCACCTTGAATGGATTCTCACGATGTATTACCATTTTGTAATAGGATTTTACAGTGAATAGATAATAGCTAGCAATGGTATTCCGGAGATTAAATTAATCTCATTGACATAGACTTTATACCCGTTGAATAAAGTAATAATTGCCCGTACTCAGTAGTTTATTGAGTAAAGCTACAGTTGCTGGATCTAAATTTTGATGTGAACACTATTGATGAGATTCAGATACATTCAGATAACACGTTATAAGCCGATCAATATTAAACTTTCCGTTTAAAATTTCAGTTAAAAAATAAACAACCTTCACAACCCTATACTGATAATCATTATCTGTTTACTGCTGACTAGTTTCGACATGTCATTCTCGGAGTTATGGTAATAAGCCATGTCTAGTGAAGTTTAACTGTGTTGGGTGTGAGGAAGTTATTAATCTAAGACAATGGACCGTTAGATTCTATTTTAGAGTTCTGAAAATATTCTGCGTTTGACTTCTACATATAAAGTCGTGGGTGGGCGTTGCTGAACAATCGTTTAGTATTCATTTAGTATTGTTTGTTTAATCTTCTCATCGATGTGTTAGCACTGCAACTGGTCAATCTCTAATTGGCATATGTGCATACTGTGCGTATCACCTCGATATTTCCATAATTCACAAACATGGTAAGCAGAGATGGATAGTGTCTAGCAGTGGAATCCAGTTTCACGACAGTTTCGTTCTATCTGGGACTCGTCAGCTGGATGTACCTGCATCTGAGAGTTGATGTCCACTTTGGGACTCGAACTCAGTACCTTTCGCTTCAAACGCCATCGTGTTATCCATTCAGCCACTGAGAAGAATGAACAAAAGTTGAATAGAACTAGAATGAAAAGGATGAGGAAAAGGGTGAGTTGGAGAATGCTGATCGGCGGCCTATGCTTCATTAAGACTAACAGGTATAAGTAAGTAAGTAAGAATCGTACATTGAACAACATTATACTGAATAAATGACTTGACATATCAATGTTCAATATTTTATTTTTTTGAAACAAAAAAAAGCGGCGAAATTATTATAATTTTGGCAAAGCCATACGTTTATAATAGACAAAAGTATATTTTTTTCTAATGATTTTTTTTATATTTGGCACGACAATGATGACAACAGCGACAATTATGATTGTGTTGTTATGGTAACACTTGATTCGTTTTAAAAATATACAGACAAAAAAATTTTTGTTCATTTTTTTTCTTTGGTTTTCGCCATTAAATAATCAAGTTAATAAGAGAGATTAGTTGCTTTAGGTAATAGTACATTTTTTAAATCAACTGGAAAGCCGAAAGAAAACCTTTATGTCTATATAAGCAATTAATTTCTTTCAACATCAGCTGTAAAATCGGTGTTTCCCTTTTGTCTAAAACTCTTCAGTAATAGTAGTAGTAGTAGTAGTAGTAGTAGTAGTGGTAGTAGTAGTAGTAGTAGTAGTAGTAGTAGTAGTAGTAGTAGTAGTAGTAGTAGTAGTAGTAGTAGTAGTGGTAGTAGTAGTAGTATTGAACGAAAACACAAACGGGTACAATCGAATGTATTTGAATACATAATGAAAAAACATGTTAGTGAAATCTGAGAATATCATACAATTGTTTCAGACTTCACTCTACAGCAATCATTCTCTGTTCTCATTCTCTTTTATTCGATCTTGTTAACCGTCTTCCTCTAGGTATTTCACTTTAGACTGATGATACATACTACTTATATCTATCATAATCAGTAGCACACATCACAGTTGTACAAAGCATTCGATATTGTGGTATTTATTCAAAGGATCAATATTCAATGTTATTCGCAATGTCAGTTTGACTGTTAACATCAGAGACTCTATCTATTATGTTTGTTATTATAATATACATGTTTTCTTTTCTTGGGAATTAGAAAGGTTTACGTCAAATCATACTAATGACAGTTCATCTTCGTTACCGACTGCTATTATCAAGGAAACTATTAAAAACTGATTTATAAAAATTGTATAGTCGTGACGTCCTAGTGCTGGACTCTTCAACAGTGCGCATCCACGATCCCGCATCGTGGGATTCGCACCTATGAACTCCGGTTTTCGTGTGAAAGCTTACTTTCTAGATCACTGATTTGGTTGACATCCAACGGTGTCAATTTCTAACTTCAACTGGTTCAGTATGAGTTTAACAAAAACATAGAAACTGCACGTTTAGTCAGTTACAACAATAAATTCACCTCAAATTATGTATATATGCTATGTAATTAGCCGCTGATATATCTAGAATACAGTCAAATTACCCAAAGCAGAATGGAATAAAATGAACATTACAATGAGTTGGTAAAAAACGAAAAAAAAAACAAATGAAATCACAAGAGAATAATTATTAACTCAATTACATATAAGTCCTGACTCAGTGGTCTAGTAGATAACGCGATGGCGTTTAAACCGAAATGTACTGGGTTCAAGTCCCAAAGTGAACATCAACTCTGAGATGTAGGTACATCCAACTGACGAGTCTTAAATAGGACGATACTATTCATGAAAATGGATTTCATTGCTAGCCACTATCCACTTTTGCTTGTGAATTAAAGCTATATTGATGCAATACGCACAGTTAGAGAGACTAATCAATTGCAGTTGTAAAATATCAATGGGAAGATTTAAACAAACAATACTAAGTTGAATTTAAACTCATACTACTTATAAAGAAAAAGAAAAGTAACTTACTGTACTGCACAATCCAATTTCTATCATTAAATTTAATAACCAAATACTAATTAATTGTAATTTTTGTTTATTTATGCACATATTACACCTTTTTAATCGAATGGATTACGTATGTATATATATATATATATGTGTGTGTGTATGTGTAAGTATGTGTGTGTTTGTGTATGTGTATGATTTATTGTATAAAATTGTTTTTTAAAACTCAAACTATTTCAATGTAATGATGAGGATAATGACGAAAAAAAAAGAGAAACTATTGATTACGTAATAAAGTTCTCTTTTTTAAAAAAAAAAATTGATTGATAATTGAATCCCCTTGACAACAACAAAAATAACAAAAAAAAAATAGTTTCTCTGTGTTTTTGTCTTTGTATAAATCTTTTAATTTATGAATTTGAATAAAGTTGTATATATTTTGTTAATACTAATAAGTGTAAGTAATCAGGATTTTTAAAATAGAAACTATCTGCTTTTGTTTTGTTTCATTATTATTTTCAAATGATAACTATTTATTATGTAATCATTTCTATTGGTTATTAAAGAATTAACCAATCAATGATAAGGAAATTTATAATTTTAATAGTTGAGATCCCGAGTGAATAGGAGTTAGACCACTATGAAAAACCCGAAAGCAGTGGACGGCCGTTTTATTCTATTATACCACTTTGCAGCAGTGCGCATCCATGATTTCACCTCTTGATATTTCGAACTCTGAACCTATCAATCTTGCGCGTAAGCACTTAACTGCTAGACGACTGATCCAGTATCCAACGGTATCATATGCTCACTAGACACTTGCTTCAAGAGGTATTTCCTGGAGTTCTAGTGAGAAGTGAAAAATATTGACTAGTGGAGTTCAATCGGGTTTGTTGTGAGGTTTTAGATCACTGAATACAATGGTGGGTGTGTCGCTCAATTTCATGGATTAGTTAGAGTTAGACATTGACACTGTTTGATGTTGGCTCACGAGGTCTAGAGGTCAAGTATTCACGCGTGAGACCTATATGTTTTGGTTGGGAATATCGCAAGGTGAGATCGTGGATGCACACTACTGGGGAGTCCTACAACAAGACGGAACAGTTGTTAAGTGCTTCTAGGTTTTCCATAATGGTCTGCCTTCAATTGACTCATAATCTCAACTATCAAAATTACTATAATATACACATAAACGCCTTCTTTTATAAATTTATACTTTGATAACTCATTAAAAACCTTTTTATAGATAGAATCATATTAATACACTAAGTATTATGGTATATAATGGATAGAGAATGTAAGGGTTGATTATTTAGAAAAAAATATGTTTCGTGTATTGTTTTGAAAGTATATTTATCATATTAATTATAATGATATAGATCAATAATTGAAAATATTCTTCATCGAAATGTCGTTTGTACTACTGATGTCCACAGATATGTAAACAGTATGTATCACTAATCGAAAGTGGAATGCTTGACGTCAGTGAATAGAGAAGATTGAAACAAAGATAAAGAAAACACAGAATGATTGAAAAAACAATAAAATTTGAAGAAATTGATTGATATTTTCCAAATATAAGCATTTACTATATATATGGTTCTCAGATTTTCCTAAGAGATTCTGTAATTATGTATTCAAATACATTTAATTGTCTACGCCCATGTTCTTATTTAAGGATTAGAACGTTATGTTTACGAATGAACATTGTATTCAAAAAAAAAAGAAGAAGATTCTAGTGACGATAAAAAAATAGTATTTGTAATGATCTATAACTTTAGATAACAGAGCTATTACGTCATCATAAATGTAATTGATTATTTTATGATCTATTAATTGAATATGATATGATATCTAATCATGGTAATCAGGTACACTTTAAACACAAAATAGAAGAAACAAAGAAATTTTCATAAGTCTATTAAGTAACAATCATATGCTCACTAGTGATTGACTTCAAGAGATATTTCTTGGAGTTCTAGTGAGAAGTAGTGACCAGTGAAGTTCAACCTGGTCTGTTGAGAGATAACAATTCACTGAAGATAATTGGCGAACAGTTGCTCAATTTCGTGGATTGGTTGAAATTAGATATTAACACCGTTGGATGCCGGCTCAGTGGTCTATCGGTTAAATGCTCTGGTTGGAGACTTGTAGGTCCTGGGTTGGAATCTCTCCAGGTGGGATCGTGGATGAGCACTGCTGAGAAATCCCAAAATAGGAAGGCCGTTCAGTGCTTTCAGATCTTAAATGGTGGTCGAGCTTCAATTGACTCATGATTTCAACTATGCAAGTAATCAAACATTTAAAAATGTCTTCATAATTTCAAATGTGGAGAGAAATATAGAAACGGGTACCAGGATTTTTAAGGCATCTTCACGGAAAGATACTCATCAATGTGGACTATAAACAATAGTATTGATTTTATTTATCGAATGAAATAATAGATGTAAATGATCACTTATTTATTATCTTGAAGGGAAGAATTAGACTTAATTTAATGAACACGTTTTTAAACAGCATCAATTAGTGGTAAGGATAAATTAAGGCTAAAGTTAGTACAGGGACGATTTACGCTTCGTATTCTTGGAACTGATTGTACCTTGACTTATAATTTTAGATGTAATAAACTTGGGCTCGACCCTTTATGGAAGAAAAGACTAAAACTAAATTTTATCCTCTTCAAAAAGCTCAATAAACTATCCTTTACATCCAACCAAGCAATTCAGTGTGAAGAAGCTTCTCATTACGACATACATAACTGCTTGTCACTAGCGAAACACACCCATTCTAAAACATCTCTCTATAAGAATTACTTTACCTGTAAGTTTTCTAGACTCTGGAATAACCTATCACAATCTACACGTGCGATAAATTCTCTCTGCATTGATGCATACTACTTCTCTGAAAATGTATTAAATGTTCTAGCTCCTGTAAGTGTATCTTATTCCATAAGTTAGATTATAGGAACTTTAAATGTTTAGCCATTCTTATTAGTGAATTCCTTAAGTGAAATCACTTATCTGCCATCACTGATCCTAGTAACCTTAACTTATTTGAATAATATCTAACATGAACAGTGATAAATCTGATCGAAATACTTTGGTAATTATTGTTTTGTTGTTCTATGCTCTTTGTTTTTATTTTACTTTCTTTAGTTGTAGATAATTATCAATAATTCGTTTTGGCACAGGAAATAACCTTAAATAACACCGTTCATATATCAACAGGCTATCCGCTTCAGAAAAAAGGTAAATTAAAAGTTCCCTGCTGATGCATTGAATTACTGTAATACAATCTTATATCATATGTTTGTTCTCTACATCTAATGCTACTAATTATATCTAAATGATCATGCCTGTAAATTGGAGTGAATTCTGTAATTATTATTTTTAGAATATATAATTATATTATTATGTATCATCAATCGAAAGTGAAATACCTGGAGGAAGAAGGTTAAGAAGATCGAATAGAAAAGAATGAGAACAGAGAATGATTTTTGTAGAAATGAAAGAGCAGTGAAGTCTCAGACAATTGATTGACATTCGCAAACGGAACAATGAAGCTTGAGACAATTGATTGACATTCTCAGATTTTACTACTACTACTACTACTACTACTACGACGACGACGACGACGACTACGTTTACGACTACTACTACCACTACTAATACTACTACTACTACCACTACTACTACAACTATTACTACTACTACTATTACTATTACTACTACTATTACTACTACTACTATTACCACTACTACTGCTGTCGAGTTTCAGACAGAAGGGAAACACTGATTTTACAGCTGGTACTGGTTCACTACACTACGACAAAACATTTATTAAGTTGTTCAGTTAAGATCAATTCATGATCTAAAACTATGAAATTTAATAATTAGCCATAAATTCCTTAGATAAATGACTAATAATGTATACTATTAACAACTTTAGTGAACTCAGATAAAATTAACTTTCGTTTCTTCTTTTCTTAATTTAGAGGTCAATCGTTTATTTTCTACTTTGTTGTTGTTGTGGTTTGGATTCATTAACTGGTATTATGAGAAATTAATGGTTAATTAATAGTTAACTCGTTTTATTGCCTTTGAGGTTTGTGTAAAGAATGATTTTAATTAGAATGTTAGTTTAAGTGATATTGTATTCTAATGCAAAAAATGAAATAAGCTTCAATCCATTGTATAAGATAGTGGCTATCCAGACTAAATAGCTTAATGGATAATGTAATAACATTTGAAGCAAACAGTACTGAGTTCGAGTTTCAAAGTGGACAGTAACTATGGGATGTAGGTATATCCGTCTGACGAGTTCCAAATAGAACGAAACGCACGTCTTGAATTCTACCACTAACTACTGTTTATCTCTGCCTATGAAGCTTGTGACTTAAGGCAATATCGAGAACATTCGCACAGTATGAGCATATGCCAATGAGAGACTGATCAGTTGTAGTCCTTAAAGTCAAAGGGTAGATTTGAATAACCAATAAAAAATGAAATACATAAAATTAGTTTATAATATAAGCAAGTGATTTCGATCACATGTAGGTTAGTTACCAACTTTCAAAATACTGTTTAATGGTTGTTCCATGCCATGAATCGATTGAAGTTCGAGCTGTAAACCATTGAATGTCAACTGATAAGTTTGAACATTAAGCACTTTTCCAAGATCCAATAGTTGGCGGTTCAGTTCTTATTAAGATCATGGATGAGTACTGCTAAGGAGTTCCGTAATCACTGTCCTTCGTTATCCGTGATTTTCTAACTGAGGTTCGGTTTTAATTTCAATAACGTCACAATAATCTCTATAAACCGCCATGATAAAAAAATCTATAAGTGATTATGGGAATTATTGTTTAGTTACTTACTTACTTACTTTCACATGTTGCTCCCAATGGAGCATAGGCCGCCGACCAGCTTTCTCCAACCCACTCTGTCCTGGGCCTTCTTTTCTAGTTCTAACCAGTTCTTGTTCATTCTTCTCATGTCTGTCTCTATTTCTCGGCGTAATGTGTTCTTTGGTCTTCCTCTTCTCCTTCGACCTTCAGGATTCCATGTGAGGGCTTGTCTTGTGACACAGTTGGGTGATTTCCTCAAGGTGTGCCCAATCCACTTCCAGCGCTTCTTCCTGATTTCTTCCTCCGCTGGATGGAATCTAGTTTGCTGTCTCCCACAGTAACTTGTTGCTGATAGTGTCTGGCCATCGGATACGAAGTATCTTGCGTAGACAGCTGTTAATAAACACTTGTATCTTCTGGATAATGGCTTTCGTAGTTCGCCACGTCTCCGCTCCACACAGTAGAACTGTCATGACATTTGTATTGAAAATTCTGATCTTGGTGTTAGTTGACCATTATTTTGAGTTCCAGATGTTTTTCAATTGTAAATATGCTGCTCTTGCTTTGCCAATCCTCGCCCTCACATCTCCATCTGATCCACCGTGTTCATCAATGATGCTGCCCAGATATGTAAAGGTTTCCACAGCCTCCAAAGCTTCTCCATCAAGTG